ATAGTACCATACCAATAATACCATAATCACATATTATATATTGAACATTTTTAATTTGCAAAACTATAAGTTATGGAAAACTCAATGACATATTTATTTAGATTAATAAAAAGATAAAAATTAAATGCGTCATCGGCATCATTTTGTTAGTAATATCATTATATAATCTTTTTTTTTTTTTTTTTTTTTTTTTTTTAGTGTACTGGGGAATTAAAGCAAAATTTCTCAAAAGTATCATCATGTTTTAGTAAACTGATATATAGTGTTAAATTATTATCTTAAATCTCAGTTTATTACAGCAGAAATCGTAAATAGCTGCATTACGTATAGCTCTTGCTTCACTGTGCTTTCGCAAGTTAATCTGCGTCCATCCACATAATCGAGAAGCAGGTCGATGCTAGACATTTTGCCTCCCAGTGCAGTCTTTGAGGGATCTTAATTCTATTGATCGATGTTCTATAAATTTAAAATATTTTGCATTGCCTAAATTCTGTTGCTCTGGGCTTCTCTACATTCTCAAACTTTTGCTGTCCAATAAATTTTTGTTGCCAAGTGCCGAATTCTTAGAATTTCGCCATTACTAAATTTTCTTGTTCGATGCCACTTTAAATTCTAAGAATTTTTCAGCTATTAAAATCTGCCTCCCGGCCAGACGTGTTTTTAGATGCCACATATGGCACTGAAAACAGTTGAAAAATCGGAATTTTAAAAGCAAACTTCCTACTTTTAATGAAATAAATTTTATCGATTAGCAGTGCTATGGAAGCATTAAAACATTTATGTAATAAATACACAAATACTTCAGAAACATTTTTTTCTCTCTACTGAAGAAAGGCCTGTCTCTGACTACCTGCGAATTTGATTAAGTTTTATCCAAAATCTACGTCAAAGCGTTTCTTTTTGGCCTAATATTAAATTTTACATTGGCATGTTCCTGTCCCTGCTTGATGTTGACAAGATTTATTCAAAACTGACTGTTCTTATTTTTTATTTTAAAACAAACAATTTAAATGGAAATCCTCAGCTTGCTTTTATTTATTTAAATAATAACTTTGATAATGTGAATTGAGATCTCTAAGTAATTTGCGTATTTGAACCCAAAAAATGTTAAACACCAATTTGAAGCTTTTGTTTTGGTTTGCTTTATTTTTTCCTTCAAAGCACGCGAGAGCTATCTGCCTAAAGGGAGGAATGCCTCCGTGGAGGACATTCTAAGAAAAACTTACTCGCGCCCACATTATGCACAGAGAAAACCACAAAAATTCCACTTTGAAGGTAAAAGTAAAAGTGTCTAATTTTTAGAGCGAGATTTTCCTAACAATGAATTTTAGCAATTTAATACAAGTGCTATATTTAATTAAGAATTAAAAAACAATGTTCTTTTGTGATTTACGTAAGGTAACTCTTTCTGTCAATAATCATATGAAAATGCACCGAATTTCAGTACCATGTAATTTAGTTCGGAAACTGAGAGGTATCTGCGACATCTTGTCTATATGTAGAAAATATTTAATAAGGTTATTATGGGTGAAATTTGTTTCAAAATATTCAATATTTCATAATTTCTATGAACCAATAAATGCGATAAAGGTAAACTCCCCTTTTATAAATATGAAACAAGATAAACGAAATAAATTTGTGGTAAAATGAATTACAAACATTATGTCGAAATGACTGACACTGAGCATGTGTTTGTTATTTTAATAGTAATTTAATTATCAATTACATGTAGCTTTCAATAGGAATTAGGTATTTTAAGCCTCTTATAAATTTTTTCTTAGCGTTAAAGCTCGATACATGAATCAAAAGCAGAAAATTAGTTAAACTACACTGTCTCACTAGTCGTAAGATTATATTACTGAAATATGCATATAAAAACAAATTAACATTCTATAAACGTACATTAAAATACCGAAACGCAATAAAAATCAATAACATTTATACTTAATAAGCTAAAAAGCCGGGCTCATGTGAATCACTAGAAGAGGCTCCAAATTGGCTATACGAATTCGAAAATTAATTTAATTATTAGGGGAAATAGGCTTCGTCAAACTTAAATCAATAAAACAAACCAAAAAAAAAATTGCAAGAACCTGGAAATTAATGCAATATGCATTTCAGTGTTATTCTTATTAATCAAAAACGAATTTTTTAACGTTTTCATTTGAAAATTATAAATAATTGGCTAATTATTTCTGAATTTATAAAACTACGATTAAAAATACTTTATGAATTATGGTATAATTATGCTATAAGAGTTATGACATTTTGATTTAATACAATTACTTTTGCTTAATACAAGTGAGCTATTTTTTATTTATATGGACGCGCATTGACCTTTCTGCCTCAGGTGAAAAATATCTGGCACGGCTCTGGATAAGCAATTAAGATTAGAAATATGCACAAAATTAGTAACAAGGCAATACAAAACTTCCTTTTCTCTTTTGGATTTCCAGAAAAAAATATCTTTTTCGTCTAACCAAAGCATGGCACAAAACGTGTTCCTTCCTCCGTAAGGGGCAAAAGCAGCCCATCTGCTTAATCGCCTCTAGGACCGTAATCAAAGGACAGTAGGAAACCATCACTTAAGTTGAAACGACTTGTGATCGCCTCAAAAGGGGGAAGAAATCTAAAAAGGCCGTTTTTGGCAATTTTATCCACTAAATGCAAAAAAAATTGTAAACATGGTGAATTTTAATGAAGTTTTCGAGACGTACTAGATTTGAATGCGAGCCGCAGGGTGGTTAAAATGTATTTACATTTTCGATTATTCTTAAGTCTTTTTTCACATCTGGAAGAAACAACATGCATTGTGATTTTGTAACTATTTATGAAATTACACACACACACACACACACAAAAAAAAAAAAAAAGAAAAGAAAGAAAGAAGGAAAGAAAATCAACTACAAGTGACAGTAATTCCAGGAATATTCTTGAAAATCTATTTGTGCATCCATAGATGGATTTTTCCGAAAAATATCTTAATTTATAATGAAATGCTTCGCTATGTTAGTTTTTTGTTTATAAGATGTGATAAAGTTATAAAGATGAATCCGTAATTTACTAATACAAAAATTAGAAATAGTCGAAATCTAAATATGTTTCTGCATAACTCAAGAATTTGTATAGGTTTATTACAACTTGTTGGGTGACTTTCCAATTGTTTCTTTAAGAAGTGATATTTCGATTTATCCAATATTATTACAATTTATTAAGAATCATTAGAATCATTGTTACCTCAATAATAGCAGATATATCTAAAAATGTAACATGTGCTTTTTTAAATGAATGTTTTAAATAGATTCTTTTCACAACTAACAACCTATATCAACAAGAATAAATATTAATAAAATAAACAAGATTTATTGAATTCATGATTTCAGTTTATGCGCGTTCATATTTATATATCTAAAGAAATTACCTGAATAAGCTGAATTACGAAATTACTATATAATTTTGGATTCTCTTTTTCACATGTTCAACTGTGTAATATTTTACTTACGTTTATCGCAATACTGCCAGAAATTGAACTTATGCAAAAACATTTACAACAAACAGTTTATCTCATCAATGCACAAATTTTGTACCTCACAAAACTAAAAATGAATAATAATTAACAGAAAGAAATGTTGCTTTATTGAACCTTTACATTCAAAAAGGTACAATGATTCTACTTTTCATGAAAATTAAAAACTATTACTAAGGTTCAAATCATTAGTTAATTACTAGCACAGATCTTGTATGATAAGGAACGAAGATACCAGCTGTAAGCAAAAACATAAATGTATTTAGCATGTTTCGATTATTATGAGTCTTTTTTTTTCAACTGAAAGAAACAACATGACATTGTGATATTTTAACAATTTATGAATTACACACACACACACAAAAAAAAGAAATCAATATTACGATGAACAGTAATCCAGAATATTTTTGAAAATCTTTGTGCATCCATAGCAATATAAGCTGACATGCTTCAAAAACAAAAGGGTAAAAAATGTTACATTACAGACTTCCTTGCCAATCACAGGATAACAGTAAATGACCGCCAATCACCGTTGAGTTGAACCTCCCTTTCTATTCTAACTAACGAGATAATATACTGGTTTATACTATAATATGAAGTCTTGCTCTAACCTCCTGATTCTAACCTGAGGTAGGAAAGGGAGGAGGGGCCAACCGCGCTAAAGTGAAGCACTGCTTGAGGCTTGGGTCAAAGATGGTGTTTCTTTATTACATTCAGAAGCTCGCTTCACAAGGTTCTGATAGTTTTCGACACACGACAGCTCCCTAGAATCGAAAAAGGGACACTTTCGCATGAAAGAATATTCATAGTGGGATGGATAATAGCATTTGTATAGTTTAGGACATTACGCAAAAATCAATTTGGTTTTTTCGATAACGAAAACAGATTTTGATTATGAATTTTTTATAAATTCTAAGCTGTTGAACTACAAAATATAATTTTAACAAAATGTTATTTAAGAATGAAAATACCTTACTACCTTTAAAATTGTATCATCTTTCGATACCCTTGATAGAGTATTCGCTATTTCATTTATGTTCCAGACGCCAAAATGTTTAAATAAAATACATTTTTTTTAATTCAATATTATGTAACATTACCTTTTAACATTTTTAGCGAGAGCCTTTACGTTGCTCATTTTAAACTCATCATTTTAATCTTATACATCTGAAAAATCCTTTGGCTTACACGTTTTACTTATTGGGTTAATTAAAAATAATATAGTGATGCACAGAAATAAAGACTCAGGCGGAATGAAAAATATAATATGTATGTGTGTTTCTAGTGCTTGCAAAAAACATGTATCTGCCTTTAACAAAATACATAAAATTCATAATTATTTATACTGTATTGAAATGAAAATTTATTCTTTATAACACTGTGAGAATCTAATTATTAAATGTATTAATTTTATATGATATAAATGTACCTAAATATATAATAAACCTTAATTTGAATTTTATGTTTGGCGTAAAAACTATTAAAAATAAATGATGGCTTAACTGTAAGTTTCGCGCGGAAATTGGAAGTCTGCAGCGCGAGAAATCTCATGTATGATTAAAATTTGCACTGATTTAAAAGGAAAATATTTTCTCCTTAAGGATTTTTTTTTATTTTATATAATAATAAAAGGGAATGGATAGACTGTAAGTTATCTAAGTATATTCAATTTCAATTATTTAGCATTAGGTTTACGTTTTAGTGGCTATGGTTATGTAATCCTAGTAGATGTTAACTTTTCTTTATGACCTTCAAATACTGGTGTATATAGTTCTCATGTTCTGTGTGTGTCTTTGTCTTTATTATCTATTATTAATTGTTACAGTAGTATTATTAGAGTAAGATATTTTGTTTATGTGTCTTTTTACAGCATCAATGTGCCTTTATGTGTCTTGGCATCGTTTAGGGATGAAAATGCAGAAATACGGTGTAAACCTATTTCGAGAACAAGAAATCTAGAGGAATCCTCCGAGAATAATAAAGGTGCCCAGCAGTTTAAGTTAAAAGACATACCAATTGATACTGGAATGAAAACTAGAAAATATCCTAAGGTAAATTTTCTGCCCTGAAATTTCATAGAATATTGTTAGACTATAATAATTGGTACGAATAAGTCGTGTTGTTTTATTTCATAGGCAGGAATGCATTTCGAAAGAATTAATACAGTTATTGTTTAAAAAATGACATGCAACAATCATTGTATTGTTTGAGGACATTATCAACAATATAACATTAACTTATAATATAACAATATATATATAACTTATAATATGACATTATGCTTAAAACAGTGTATATTTTAAGCATAATTTTCTAATTTGATATGATATGAATTGAAAAAGTAGAATATGTTGTTAAAAATGTCATTTCTTAGTTATTGGCCATAATAGCTCTTATTAGTATTTTCAGTGAGAATTATAGTTACTCCATATTTTTTAACATTGTCTTTCATATTTTATCATTTGAATGATAGTATATAAATATATTTTTTAACCAACATTTTGTTCGTTAATCATTATAAGTTATTTAAAAAAGTAGAAGTCAGGTGTAATCAACATTTCTTTGTTATGATGAACAATTCTAGCATTTATTTAGATGATTTACAAGATCGAACCTGCAATAATGGTTCTAAATGCGTAAAATAAAATTGAGAACAATGATATTTATTATGTCTTAATGCCTTTGGTTGTTGCTAATCCTTATCAGATCTTTGGAATTTAATAAGCAATGCAGCAAAGATTTATTTTTTGTATGGTTAAGTGTAGCAGCTATGCAACTTTTTCAAATATTAAACTATTTTCAAACAGTGTGTACTAACTTCTGGTGAGACCAAAAACTACATATCGAAACAATAAAATAGATTAGTTATAAATGAAATGAAATGTATGTGGCTTTATGAACACAAAAATCAGTATCTGAAAATAGCAAACGACGCATACATAAAAGCTGAATCCAATTTAAGAGCTAAGCATTTTTAAAACTATAATTTTTTTTATTGTTGCTTAGTTCAATTTATTAAACATCAACTCCCAAAGTGAGTAAAGTACTTTCTTATTCAAGCTTTTTGTCTGAAAAATTAGCAAATTTCATTATCCAGTCTGTAATATACAAATTTCAAATGTTGCCTAAGACTGTGGAACATTTGAAATTTGCCGGTTGATCTTTACATTATGGTAACTTGGCGATTTTTTGGCGAAAATTTGGCAACCAACTCTCCTACAGCAACCCTCTATTTTTTTTTCCCCGCCGCCATTTTGTCTTCACTAAGTAAAGACATGTTTCTTTTCTCTTATCTACTGAACACTTTTTCCAACAATCTACTAGCCGAATTACACTTATGCTAGAAAATTTTTCAAACAAAACTGCTTAATCATGACAAATATTCACTGCAAAATTGGGAAAAAGGCACAATACCATACTCCTTACGCGTTTTTCAAAAAACACATACACATAAACCAGGTACACGCCGACTTATTTTTACTTAAAAAAAACATCCCAGAATTGCACAAAAAATGGCATTGCGCACACTCTTCACTATATCCGTGTACACTGCTTTTTTCTCATAAATTAGAAAATTTCACGAAAACATGACAATTTTCTCAATCTTTAAACCCGGTAAAAAGAACATATATGAAAATACCTGATCGCGAAAAAGTATTTACCCTTTACAAATATGAACATTTCCACATATAAAATAAATAAAAATCCAAAAACTTTTACCTCTAAATTATCTATTACATTATAACGTCACCAACAAATTCAACCGCAAGCATTACAAAACTTAGTATCAAATATTTAAATTATTTTCAGCACGTTTATTTCAACTTAACGTTATCAAATTCACAAACATAAAATCACAAATAACTATCATTTCATTAAAAGAATTAATCAAAAAACACTACTTAAATATAAATGAGCACATACATTAAATTAATAAAAATTACCTTACAGTCCTAATTACTTTAAACTAAATCATTGCTAATAACAATTGTCCCAATAATACCAAATTCCTTTCACCTTACATTTAGAACATGCATAAAAATAATATCCTCAATAATTAAAAACTAACTTCCTAATCTTCTTCAGAATCTTGATTACGTGGCGGATACACTTTTCTAATTCATTCAATAAAATTATTGAAAGATTTTTTCTGTGAATTTTTCCCCCATACTTCCTCCGCTAAATAAAAAGCCAACTTCTCTTATCACAATGCCTAAATACCCATTCGATTCACTTTAGTTAGGGCCATGGGATCCAAAATTAAACAACACTGTTTCACACAACACAGAATAAAGCTAAATACAAAATTTCACATTTTTTCCCAATTTTCCCCCCTTTTCCAATTAAAGAACCGTAATTCGTCCATTAATATCACATGACAATCCCATGATCTCTCATTTCCCTCACGCAAAATAATGCGTAATCGGAACTGAGTACTGCTCACATTTTTACCAAAGTCCCAGGTAGTAACCTTTATCGCCTCCAGAATGTCGCCAAACTACCAGTTACCATATTGTAAAGATCAACCAATTTGCCACTTTAGCAATTTCAACAAGAAAATTGGGAATGGTTTGATTAATAACAACAAATTTCAACATTAGAAACAAATTGCAGGGCCGTTTTAGCAAAAACCATAAATAATTATGATCAGTAAACTCTAATGTTAGTTTTGTTTAGAGTTCTTTTTAAAATATTATGATAGAAATTGTATAGACTTACAGAAGTTAAGGATACAAAAGAACAAAAAAAATTTTAATAAAGTCTTCAAATATTTTTGCATGTATGAAAACGTAAAAAACTTTTGGCTAATCTTTAGAATATGGTAACAGATATTTTGGCGACATTTTGGTAAGGCGATAAAGGTTACTAGCTAGGACTTTAGCAATAATCTTAGAAGTACACAGTTTGAATCACAGATTATATTGTCTCAGAGAAATGAGACATCATGAGACATGTAATGTGACGTTTTCCGGAAAAATCCAATCGTGATTTTAGCTAATAAGCACTTAGAAACAATTTCGCTGCTAAAGTGCAGAATCGCCCACTGATTTGTTTGGCACTTTTTACAAGAATAAGAATTGGATTTTTGTCAATTTTCTTTGACTTTTTAAGTGAAAATAGGTTGATGTGTACATGGATAAAGTCAAGAGTGTGAGCAGTGCCATTTTTGTGCAATTCTGGGATTTTTTTTAAAGTGAAAATGGGTCGACATGTACATGGATACTGTGTATATGCAATTCTTAAAAATGCGGCAAGCAGTGGGCGATTCTACACTTTCTCCCAATTTCGCACCTAATCTTCGTCATGATTAAGCACTTTTATTCCATTAAAGTTCTAGTATAAGCGTAATTCGGCTAGCAGTTTGTTGGAAAAAATGTTGAGTTAAAAAAAAAAAAAAAAATGCCTTTGCTTCATGAAAACAAAATGGCGTCCAAAAAAAAAAATAGCAGGTTGCTGTAGCATGGTTGGTCGCCAAAGTTTCGCCAAAAAAATCGCCAAGTTACCATAATGTAAAGATTCACCAAACTTTTTTTCAGTGTAAAAATAAAAACTAAAAACGTTAGTGATATATTATGTAGTATTTTAGTACCTTTGCCTTCTTATATGGTATTGGTTTATTAAAAATTTGAAACTTAAATTTCAGTTAACCTTTTGACAGGAAGTGGGACACCAGGCGTCCCACCTTTTTTTATCAATTTTTAATTCCCATATGAAAGCTGCAAAATTCCATTTAAAATACATACAATTTAAGCTTTTAGTTCTCTAAATATATAACAGATGGCAGCACTAGTATTCATTCATGGAAATAATGTAAAATAAAAATTCTTTGCAGGTCTAATTTTGAAGCTTTATTTATTTATTTCTAATGCAATTTACGTCATATGAACAACAACTTTTGGTATTAGAATGAATATATTTATGTGAAAGTTTCCTTTTCTAAAAAAATTATTTTAATTCATATATATTAATTAAGAATGGTTGAAATTAAAAGGTGGGACCAAATTCGTCCCACTGCGCATGTAGGAATTGCTGCTACTACATGGCAGCACTATTCAAATATTTTTAAATTCAAGTATTATGTTCATTTTATATGTTGATAATGCAAATTTGTTTTTTAATAAATTGCAATAATGTTAAAACTTGAAAAATATTTGGGTACTTACGTATTAACGCAACCAGGCCAAAATTCGCATAAATTGACAAATTTGGCAACCCTACGTGTTATACGTAGTTTTGTAAAAAGAGCATGTGGAGATTCACAAAATTTTCCTGCATTTTCGTGCAAATTTTTAATTTATGAGAAATAGCAGTGTACATGGTAAAGTCAAGAGTGTGCGCAATGGCATTTTTGTCAATTCTGGGATGTTTTTTAAGTTAAAATAAGTCGACGTGTACATGGTTATGGCGAATACGGTTTTCAATCAGTGCTAAAAGCAATAGCCAAAAGATTTCCGCCGAAAAAAAATAATTCTGAACTTATTCAATTTGAAACCGGAAGGGTTTAATTGCTATTTTAATTTAAAACAAATAATATAAAAAACTGTATTAAAAATTATCTGTAATTAATAAATGTACATTTTCTTTCTATTCATACTTTTTTACTCAAACTTACAAATAGCGCCAACCTGGTTGCAATAATACGTAAGTACCAATATTTGATATTTTTTCCGAAAGAAATGAAAATATAACTCTGTAAGGTTGATCTTTGGATTATGGTAACTTGGCGATTTTTTGGCGAAAATTTGGCGACCAACTCTGCTACAGCAACCCTCTATTTTTTTTTCGCCGCCATTTTGTCTTCACGAAGTAAAGACATGTTTTTTTCTTTTTATTTACTGAACACTTTTTCCAACAATCTGCCAGCCGAATTACACTTATGCTAGAAATTTTCTGGAACAAAACTGCTTAATCATGACAACTATTAACTGCAAGATTGGGAAAAAGTTCAGAATCGCAAACTTCTTGCCACGTTTTTCAGAATCGCACATACACATAAACCATTTACACGTCGACTTATTTTACTTAAAAAAAAATCCCAGAATTGCACAAA